AGTTGTAGATATGCTGCTCTTGCTTTGCTGATCCGCGCCTTCACATCTGCATCAGATCCACCCTGTTCATCAATGATGCTGCCCAAATATGTAAAGGTTTTTACATCTTCCAAATCTTCTCTGTCAATTGTGATTGGATTGGTGCATGCTGTGTTGTATCGGAGAATCCTGCTTTTCCCTTTGTGTATGTTGAGACCTATTGCTGCTGAGGCTGCTGCCACGCTGTTTGTCTTCTCCTGCATCTGTTGTTGCGTGTGGGATAGAAGGGCCAGATCGTCTGCGAAGTCTAGATCATCCAACTGCATCTTAGATGTCCATTGTATCCCGCGCTTTCCTTCAGACGTTGACGTCTTCATGATCCAGTCGATCACCAGGAGAAAGAGAAACGGTGAGAGTAAGCAACCTTGCCTAACACCGGTCTTCACTTCGAACGACTTTGTCAACTGTCCTCCATGCACAATTTTGCAGTGTAATCCATCATATGAGTTCTGTATGATATTGACTATCTTCTGAGGCACGCCGTAGTGTCGAAGAAGTTTCCATAGTGTTGTTCTGTCCACGCTGTCAAATGCCTTTTCGTAGTCAATGAAGTTGATGTAGAGTGATGAATTCCATTCAATTGATTGTTCCACAATGATCCGTAGAGTTGCGATTTGGTCTGTACACGATCTATCCTTACGGAATCCTGCCTGTTGGTCTCGAAGTTGGGCGTCTACGCAGTCCTTCATCCTGTTTAACAATACCCTGTTGAAGACTTTTCCCGGTATTGAGAGAAGAGTGATGCCTCTGTAGTTATCACACTTGCTGAGATCGCCTTTCTTCGGTATTTTGATCAGAAGTCCTTCTTTCCAGTCTGTTGGTACTTGTTCCTCATCCCAAATCTTATTGAAGAGAATGTGGAGTATCCTTGCAGTTGCCGCTACGTCTGCTTTTAGTGCCTCTGCCGGGATGTTGTCCGGTCCTGCTGCTTTGCCACTCTTGATTTGCCTGATGGCCATGCTGATTTCTTCAATTGTTGGTGAGCCAACATTGATTGGGAGGTCCGTGGGTGCTGCTTCGATGTTGGGTGGGTTCAGTGGCGCTGGTCGATTCAAGAGTTCTTTGAAGTGTTCTACCCACCTGTTTTGTTGCTCTTCGATGTTGGTGATTACCTCGCCTTCCTTGCTTTTCACTGGTCGTTCTGGTTTGCGGCGATTTCCAGAGAGCTTCTTTGTCGTGTCATACAATTGTCTCATGTTTCCTTCTCTTGAAGCCTTTTCCGCCGTCGTTGCTAAATCTTCCACATATTTACGTTTGTCGGTTCTGATGCTCCTTTTCACTTGTTTGTTTATTTCCGTGTATTCAGCTTGTGCCTTAGCTTTTTCTGCTCTTGTTCGGCTGGTATTGATCGCTGCCTTCTTGTTTCTTCTTTCTTGAATCTTATCCAGTGTATCAACAGTGATCCATTCCTTGTGGTGGTGCTTCTTGTGACCCAGGACCTCATGACATGTTGAAGTGATTGCCTCTTTGATCCCCTTCCAGTTGCTCTCCACAGTAGTTCCTTCTCCATTGAGTAGATCATGAAAGGCCTGGAACTTGTTGCTGAGGACTATCTTGAATTTGTTGAGTTTGTTAGTATCCTGAAGAAAGGCCGTATTGAACTTTTGTGATACTGTCTGCCCCGTTGTCCAGTGCTTCTTGAAATTCAGTTTCATCTTGGCGACCAGTAAGTGATGATCTGATGCTATATCAGCTCCTCTCTTGGTTCTCACGTCCTCTATAGTCCTCCTGAACGTTTTGTTGATGCAAATATGGTCGATTTGGTTTTGTGTAGAGTGATCCGGTGAAGTCCATGTGGTTTTGTGTATGCGTTTATGTGGGAATACGGTGCCGCCTATGACCAGCTTATTGAAGGCACATAGATTTGCAAATCTCTCACCATTTTCGTTTCTTTCTCCCAGTCCGTGTCGTCCCATGATGTCTTCATATCCAGTGTTGTCCGTTCCAACCTTGGCGTTGAAATCTCCCATCAGAATGGTCAGGTCCTTTGTTGGGCACTTCTCGACGATTGACTGCAGCCTATTGTAGAATTGATCTTTAGCGTCTTCACTGTAGTCGTTGGTAGGCGCATAGCATTGGATGATGTTCATTGAAATGCCCTCTTTCTTTGTTTTGAAGGAGGCTTTGATGATCCTTGGTCCATGAGATTCCCATCCTATAAGTGCATTTTGCGCTTGTTTGGACAGCATCAATGCAACTCCTTGTGTATGTGGTGCATTTTCTTCTTCATGGCCGGAGTATAACAGGAGCTCTCCTGTAGTTAGTCGTTGTTGTCCAACTTGTGTCCAATGTGTTTCACTGATCCCAAGTACCTCTAGGTTGTATCTTCTCATTTCTGCAGCAATTTGGAAGGCTCTTCCGGTGTCCCACATTGTACGAACATTCCATGTACCTAAATAAATGGTTGCTCTGGTTGTCAGAAGGGGCATCGGCCTCGTAACTTCCGAAGGAATTCGGCTTTCATCATGAGGCGTCATAATTCTTCTAAATGAAGACCTTCTGACTCCCAGGGCAGAGTTTAAAAGGTTTGAATAATTTTTTCTGGTTAGCGTTTTTTTAGCGAGTTAGTTTTCTACGGGATGGGGACGCTAACCCCATGCCCAACCCTCCTCCTTTATCCGGGCTTGGGACCGGCAGTAGCCCCCGGAGGGACTCCAGGCGGAGTTGATCTCATCATAGTCCTATCTTTATACACTTTGTTATTGAAATGAACTTGAACATGGAAGTGCAATGTAACAAATGCTTTTTCGTATAAGTGATCTACAAATCATAATTTGTGCCGTGTTAATCAATCTAGTGATAATTCTGTTAGAGCTAAATGGGTAAAAAAAAGAACTAACAATAAGTGAAAACGGTTTTTTCAGAAGTATCACTGTTTATCATTGTTTCCGCAAATCAAATTGTATGACGATTAACGGGAAACATCAACCCAGTCAATGTTAACAGGTAAGCGCAAATTTCCTTAAGTGATTGGCAAAATGCTCAACTAGAAACACCTTTTCAATCTATTTAATTAATCATGTAACAAGTAAGACATTTTTGTATTTAAAATAAGCTTGAAACAAGTGTATCCGTATCTCTCCAAACTCTTGTTTATAAGTACCACTTCCATGGTTTGAATTTCTAGGACTGTCTATATATTGTACTGTATTACTATTGTACAATTTAATTTTTTTGGTGTTGTTATTTTCATTTGGTCATAAATTCACCATAGAAACAACTTAGTCGAGAGAAACGTCAGAAATTCAATTAGTGTATTACAAAAATTTCTGATTAGTTTATTGTTACATTGATTTATCTCACCTCTCTTTCACTAATAGAGTACACTTAAATTGACTATTCATGCAAAACGTTTTACATAGTTATAATTCTATTCATTTTATGTATTTCGTTTAAACTTACTCTAACTTTGTTGAAATGCTCATGCGCATTATCGCGTCAAAAAAATCTTACAGAACATTCAAGTAAAGAATGATGAAGAATCCAAAACAACAATGATCGCTAGTATAACTTTTTATGATTGATAATGAAAATCTGTAAATTATTTGTAATACGAATGCATTAGTACAAACTATAAACAAGTTAGTTCACTTCATATTGTTTGGCTTGTATCTTCCCATTAAGGTTTAAGACTGTAATTGATCAGTTTGTTATTGGCATATGTGCATACTGTGCATATTGCCTCGATATTACCTTAATTCACAAGCTATTTGTAAGCAAAGATGGAATAGTGGCTAGTAGTGGAATCCAGGACAAGGTAATTTTCACACATATTAGATCTTAATGTCTATATTCCATTAGTTCAATCGTATTCATGTAATAAAATCAGTTTATAAACGGTGAAAATAGTTTTATACTAGAAAATCATAACCAACTTTAAATTTACATGAATAAATAGTTTATTATTTAAATATTGCTAATGAACCAGTGAAGTCACGGATCGGTAAACGAAGAACAGCATATTTACAACTGAAGAACATCTGCAACTCAAAACAACTGTCTGTCAACCAACACCAAAGTCAATATTTTCATTAGAAATGTCAAGACAGTTCTACTGTATGGGGAGGAAACCTGGAGAACTACGAAAGCCATCATCCAGAAGATACAGGTGTTTATTAACAGTTGTCTACGCAAAATACTTCGGATCCGTTGGCCGGACACGATTAGCAAGAACCTACTTTGGTAAAGAACAATTCAGATTCCAGCGGAGTAAGAAATTAGGAAGAAGCGCTGGAAGTGGATAGAACACACATTGGGGAAAGCACACAACTGTGTCACAAGAGAAGCCCTCACATGGAATCTTGAAGGCCAAAGGAAAAGACGAAGACCAAATGAACAAGAATTGGTTGGAGCTAGAAAAGAAAGCGGAGCACAGAGTGGGTTGTAGAATGCTGGTCGGTGGCCTATGCTCCATTGTGAGTAACAGGCGTAAGTAAGTAAGTAAGTAAGTAAGTAAGTAAGCAAGTAAGTAAGTAAGTAAGTAAGTAAGTAAGTAAGTAAGTAAGTAAGTAAGTAAGTACATAATTGTGAAATGAAAACATCTTTGAAACTTTTTAACCAAACTTCCGATTGTCACATTGTGACCAAGTGTTTTCAGTATATTTAGGTTAGGGGTTGAAAAGCTAAAACCAAATGTCAAGTATTTAGTTTTCGGTAAAAATTGATCTACATTTTGTATTTAAATGCATCTTGAAAATGTTTTGCGAGTTAGATATTTATTATGCTATATGGCATTCGAATGTGTAATTCCGACTAATTGAAGAATATATTCTATAACAATATTTCTTTCTTAAAATATAGCGTATATTATTTTACACATAACCTCAAACGAAACTGACTTCATTATATTCGGAGTTGAGTATTAATTATAATGAATGAAAAGGTATATCATCAATTAAACGATACAACCAGGTTCAAGAATTAACTAATATATAATGCAACCAGATATAAAGTTAACATACCCCTATGTAACTCAACCATATAATCACCTCTTTCCCGTAATGATTTACGTAGATTCTCCCATAGTATCATAAAATCACCAAGTGATTCACTCAATTGGTCCGCAATACGTGGATATTGTACAATGGTATTGACTACATTCTAATTTTAAAAAAAGAAAAGAAAGAACATTGTTGAAATTGAGACTAGTTTTTCAAATTATCATTACTTGTCATTTTCTTATACAATTATTGAGTGACTAGATTACTAGGAATAAATATGTCATTTATTATAAGTTTTCAGTTGACTCATTAACTACTGATATACGATTTAATCTTCTTAATTCGTTGTCAATCGAATATTTACAGTCTTTCCTATTCAAAGACACTCTGGATTGTTCATGTATAGTTATTATGTTTAATTTTATAGTGTCATGTGCCCTGGTATGCTTGAATATAAACCACAACTGTTACAAGCTGGTTGCTACTTCCGGACACAAGCCTGGGCATAGAGAGAAGTAAGTAAATTGTGAACTAATAGGAACATGACTGTCGAGTCGAGCACATTAGTGCTGGTTGAGCTAGTACATGTTCAATTCAGAGACACTAATCTGTAGAGTAAATAGCAGTCCGAAATAGAAATAGGGTTCTAAGTGGCAACTCGGCGCATGTGATACTGGTTGATAGCTTCAAAGAAATAACGGAATAGTGTTATACTTTGTAAATGAAACTAGTAGAAATACCTCGTTCATTAACTTTGTTATCTCACATAAAATCTATTTTCACTACTTTAGAATGAACATTTAACTACTGAGATCATCTTATTAAACTATAAATCAGTTTCTATTATACAAAATAAGATGTTAGATGATTAAAAAGTTATGGATGATAATTATCTGTTAGAATTATTCAAGACGTTAATCATTTCTTTAACAAATACAGTTTGTCTTCAGAATGATGTACAATTTTCGGAGATTTAAAATGATGAAAATCACTGACTGACATAATTCTATTAGGTAGTATGAACCATTAGATCCTTTTCCATTTTTTCATTGACATGTCTTCTAAGAAAACATAACATTGGTACATTAAAATAGGCACATGCAATAAGAAACGCTATAGATTCACCATAGTTTACCGAACACACACACACTTACTTACTTACTCACTTACTTACGCCTGTTGCTCCTCGTGAAGAAGCATTGGCCGCTCACCAGCATTCTCACTCCAACCATGTCTCAAGCAATCCTTTCCAACTCTTTCCAGTTGTTATTCATCCTTTTCATATTTGCTTCTATTTCCCGACGTAATGTGTTCTTTGGCCTTCCTCTTTTCCGCTTCCCTTCAGGATTCCAAGTTACGGCTTGTCTCGTGATGCAGTTCGACGATTTGCGTAATGTATGTCCTATCCATTTCTATCGTCTTTTCCTAATTTCTTCTTCAGCTGGAAGCTGATTTGTTCCCTCCCAGAGAAGGCTATTGCTGATGTTATCCGGCCAATGAATGTTGAGTATCTTGCGTAGACAGCTATTTATAAATACTTGTACCTCCTTGATAGTGGTTGCTGTGGTTCTCCAAGTTTCAGCTCCATACAGTAGAACTGCCTTGACGTTGGTATTGAAGATCGTGACTTTGATATTGGTTGAAAGTTGTTTTGAGTTCCATATGTTCTTCAATTGTAGGAATGCGACCCTTGCTTTGCCAATCCTCGCCTTTACGTCTGCATCTGAGCCACCTTGTTCATCGACGATGCTTCCCATGTATGTGAAGGATTCTACATCTTCCAGAGTTTTACCATCAAGAGTGATTGGATTGCTGTTCTTCGTTTCCAATTTGACGACCTCGGTTTTCCCCTTGAGTATGATGAGGTCTACTGATGCAGAGACTGCTGCCACACTGGCTGTCTTTGTCTGCATCTATTCGTGTGTATGAGATAGAAGAGCTAGGTCATCTGAGTAGTCCAAATCGTCTAATTGGTTCTGAGCTGTCCATTGTATTCCGTGTTTTCCTTCATATGTCGAGGTCTTCATAATCCAGTCGACCACCAGAAGAAAGAGGAAGGGAGAACACACACACACACACACATAAAACAACTTACAAGGGCAAAAAAACTGAAGTTGACTGTCTCTTGAAATACTTATCTAGTAAGCATTTTTAAGCCAAGTATTCATAAATACGCAGTTTCTCAATAGTTTTTAACCGGCAAAATCATCATCTATCTTGAATGATATTTTTACGTGGGTTTTTTGTTTTGTAAGTAAATACTCTTCTAAACGCTTCAAGTAATCGTCATGACGTTTAGATGAATACTTAAGAAAACTAAAGAAAATTTTTTATTTTACTAACAGTGATATTTATTCTTCAGAGAGTTTTTCTTCTTTTCATACAATCACTGAAGGAATTAAACGGTAACTTAATGTTTGGTAACTACATAGTTTGTTTCATATGGTATAAATGTGTATCTCATTTATCATTGAAAAGTACAACGATAGGAATCTTGATTGAGATCATGAACCGATTGATGTTAGACCACCGTTGGAAACCTGGAAGCACTGGAAAGCTGGTTCGTCTTATTGTGGGACTCCTCAGCAATGCGCATCCACAAGCCCGCTTGCGGGATTCGAACTCAGGTATCTACCTCAGTACAATGGAAGATGGTTGAGCAATTACGTGGATTGGTTGATGTTAGACACTACCGCCATTGGATGCCGGTTCAGTGGTCTAGTTGGTTAAGTGTTCGCGCGCGAGACAGTAGGAACTGGGTTCGAATCCAGCGAGCGGGATCGTGGATACGCACTGCTGAGGAGTCTCACAATTATACGAAACGGCCATCCAGTGCTTCCAGGTTTCTAACGGTAGCCTAACATCAATTGGTTCATGATCTCAATCAAAAACTTAACAATCTCCACAACCCCTATACTGTTAGTAATCTTGTCAAAACTGTGACCTTATATAAGTAATACATGTCGATAAATTATTTAAGTATACTTTTCTGATTGTATCTTTGGGTTGTTAAAAAACGTCGTTTCAATCATTTCGTGCGTTTTGTCGATTAGAATTGATGATACAGGAAAAAACATTAAATCAGTAACAACGATTGTTATAATTAAAACAAGAATGTAAATTCTTTAGAATAAGCTCTGAATTTATAAGACTCATCATGTTTAGCATAGAAATCGGGCTAAACTGTTTTGCAATACAATTGCAGATAACACACTTGAAACAGACATATCATTGAATAAACTTTGAAATTTTAGTGAAACTTGTCAAAACTGGTTGAATTCCATAACTCATAAGTCCCAATTCACTCGAAAACAATTCATCACTGTTAGAAACCTTACCTAAGAACTGGTTGTAGGAATGTTATACTGGAGAGTTTATAAGTGAAATTATGTAACTGTTCAATATCAATGCCTTCGAGCTACTGGAACTCAAAACAGTGAGACTATAATTTATGAACGACCTTTGAGCGACACTGAAGTGATCCTGAGGGTGGACACCTACTGATTAGGACTAAATGAAGGTTATAGAGCCGTTAGAATTCTCATTTACAGTTGGTGATTAGAATTAAAAATTAGATTTAGGGTTTTCATCACGAATTGACATCAGCTATAATGCCAAAACTTTATTTAGCTAAATGGATGGATGAATTTCGCATCAAAATTCGTGACCCATTATCTTATATCTAATTGGTTTGTCCATAAATTATAGTCTCGCCTTTAAAACTTAAAGAAACAAGTTAATTTTGTAAAATGTGAAATCTGAATGTGTCATTCAGTAGTTCAACTTCGAGCTACAAAATTATATATGTGTATAAATGTAAATGATTGATATAAAATGATTTTTTACAACAGTTGACAACATGCACATCAATCAGGCATTTCATCAATCTAACAGTCATTTAATATTCTGCAATAAAACATACTTGGAAAACCTGTTCAATACGATCATTATTAGATTGAATTTCACTTTCAAGTACGCGATGTTGTGTATATTGTTTACTGACGAATACTTTGTATGGTACCAGTGAACTCATATTTGATAGTTTACCTGCCTGATCGTATTCTTCAGCAAGTTCTTTTTTTTCTATAAGCCATTCTTGGAGCTTAATGAAAAATGTTTATATACAGTAAATTAATAAACATACCAAAATAACGAGTGACTAAATGTAAGCACTCTTTATCCTTCTATTCCTGTATAATATCTCAGATATCAGTTACCAAATAATTTTGATAGGCGAATAAATAAAATATTGTCACGAAATACTTTTATAATGCTCGTAAATAGCTGGTTGTTAATTTCGATTAGATGCTATAGTGCAATGAAAAATCATTTCCTGAAGAACTTGGATGTTTTTTTTGGTTAGTAACTCATGTTCATTCAAAATCGTGAACCACTGACTAACAACTTGATATTTTCTAAGATGATGTATTCTTCATGAAGATGTGTTAACAAATTCAATTGAGCAATATTGATGAGTTCAATATTAGTGATAACGTCTCTGACTGTGAAGCTGGGTGACACGAGATCAAATCCGCCAGGGAGCACCAGTTCCCTCAACATTACAGGTACACCTTGCTGACGAGTGCCAAGTAGCACAAAACCCGGGTCCAGGGTTTCCTGTTGACTACCTCCAACCAACATCTAATCTCAATACATAGTGCCCGCAGTGTCGAGTCACCTATACTGGTGGCCACATTGCATCATGATCGATAGCATTCGATCTGCACTAATAAGAACTAGACACGCATGACAGTGATCACCACCCAGTGATCAATCAATTGTGATTTTCATTTTATTAAATGTATATCTACATAAAATCAATAAACGATTTAATTGAATCCAAATAATACTGAGTATTGACTTCATTCTAACTCTTAACTGTTCCACCTAAAAGCGACTAAATTGTTTGCGTTGTCAAGACAAAAAATATAAAGCAAACATCTACTGAGAAATATTCAATGAACATCGTAATTAAAATTTCCAGAAACAATCGATCAATTAAAGCTTATCATCATTATCTTTATCTAAATTAACTGAAAAGAAAAAGGGAAATTTTTGGGGGGGGGGGCGGTTGCTGATGGGGGTGGAAACAACTCATTATTAATAAAAAGATTAACTCTTGATTTTCATAGAAACATCAAGCTCATTGAATTCAGAATGAATGATAATTGTTATCATTGATTATTCAGACTATTCTCAATGAATATCATCATTAACAGTCATTTGATCTTATGAATCATTATCAATTAGTTTCTATTACAGATAAATTGAATTTTCATGCTTCCTTGTAATACAGATTATTAAGATAAATGGATAGAGAATGAGTATAGAATAATGATAACATGAATAACATTGTTAGATAACACGAAATAATAAACAAACATCATTTTATTTTGACCTTAAAAGTTGTTTTGGATTTGTGTGATAATGCTGGCCAGTTTAGTGTATACAACTTTTTATCTTCATACAAGTTACACTATTCCTAGATATTTGTATGTGGATATATGCACCTATCTATCTGTCTAAATGGAATATCATATCCACTGGTCGCATAAACTGAAATACATACACTTTCAGCATATCATATCATAGTTTCTTTACACAAGCACAAATGATCCTTATAAATAAAAAAAAAAAAACTGGACAAACTAATCACTTCCAAAAGATAGGTCATTAAATTAACAAATGTACAAATTGTCCCATAAATTTCCCTTAATTAAGCTTATCCTCTGTTATGACTTTAAGTTGGTGGTCGATTTTTACCCTGTGCTAATTGTTGTGTCCTTGACTGGAAAATTAGAGAGCAACGTACTTATCGATCGATTACAGTGACACGTAAACACGAATGGACGGCCTAGAGTCTCGATTGGTCTCGTTTCTCTGTCTAGCCCAGTCACTGGAGTCCAGAACACAAGCCACAGCCTCGGGGATATGAATCATTATATTTCAAACATACTTTGTTTATATACCAATCAAGCATACCACATCGTACCATAAAATAGAAAACAACATTTTGTACAATATTCAACAAGTGAACAGATATCGACCAATAGGAAATGTTCATTTAAAGTCCAAGGACACCATTGGACTTAAGATGATAATTATTGGTCTATTCCACCGCATCCACAACATCCTCCTTCATGCCAAATCACTTTATTCATTATGACATAAGAGTAAAGACGTGAAAAGAAACTCATATCTACTTTCATGAACATAGAAATTTCCACCCCCCCAGCCTGCCTTCATTGTAAATAAGATTGAATAAACATCGTCATTTGTTTTGGATATACAATATACATTTTGACATTGAGATTATTTTGAAAAGTTTATATTTACACATTTAATTTATTCACCAAAAAGAACAAATTCTGTTTTAGATGTATCATTGAAATTTGATCTGTAAATATTCTAGACAAAAGAAAACATTCGTTCCGACGGGATCCAGAAGTAAACAACTGGAATGTTGACGTTTATTAGCTTTAGTCTCGTATATTAGTATTTTGGGATAAGACAATAATTTATGGACGACCTTTGAGAGATGTCATGGTCACCTTGAGAGTGTCCACCTGATAATTAGAACCAAATGAGGGTTGATGGTTAAGGTTAGGAATTAGATTTAGGGTTTGAATCACAAACTGACATCAGCTGTAATGTCAAAACTCCATTTAACCAAATGGGTGAGTGAACTTCATGCCAAAATCCAAGACCTGTAGGTTGGTTTAATTTAGACAAATAGCCAGCGTAAAATGCCTTTGAATAAAAAGAATGTTTATGCGGTATGTGCTACTGATGCTGACAGATATAAGTAGTATGTATTACTGATCGAAAGTGAAAAGCCTGGTAGCAGGTTAAGAAGATCGAATAAAGTAAATGAGAACAGAGAATGGTGTGGAAACGAAGGAACAATCAAGTCTGAGACATTTGATTGACATTTTGCAAATGAAGTATTTACTGTATAGTTCTCATGTTTTAGCAATGTATTCTGTTTGATTGTCAAGACTTGTGTTCTCGTTCACTACATTTATGCTATGAAATTATTTTATTTATTAAAGATAAAGTTTCCTATAATCATAACGAAATAATCTTTACTTATATTTGTACTAGTTAGATAAATTATTATCAGAATGGGTTTTGTGGAGATTTTTAGAAATTTCACTTGTTGAAATCATGAGTCAATGGAAGTTAGACCACCGTGGGAAAGCTGGAAGCACTCGAAGGCGGTTTTGTCCTACTGTGTGACTCCTTAGCAATACGCATCCACGATCCCGCCTCCCGAGACATTCGAACCCAAGACCTATCAGTCTCGCGCCAGGCGCTCAAACAACTATACCACTGAGTCAGCAGGCATCCAATGGTGTTAATGTCTAACTTCAACCAATCCACGAAGTTGCTTCACCGTACACCATTGTCTTCAATGAGTTCCTATCTCACAACAGATCTGGTTGAACTCTACTGGTAACGACTTCTCACTAGAACTCCTGAAGTATCTCCTGAAGTCAGTCAATAAATAAATTATTGTCAAATAAATTTTTATAGATAACATTCAAAAACAAGAATACATTTATGCATTAGGTGCCTATATGGAAGGTGGTAAGTACACGATATAGAATGAATTCGCTACATTTTCCGGTATTTTTTATTCAGAAGAAGGATTTGAATGTTTTGCTGATTGCTTAACTATTCACTAAATAATCTTATTCAAAACATAATCCACTAGAATCTCATCTCAAATTAACCAGCTGAACATAATATTGTTAACTTGTCTCTTTGGAGTAGTTATAAAAACATGAAACATATTAGATAATATAAGTCTTACGTAACATTTGACTAATAACAATGATTTATTTACAACTAGCATAATTCCCATGATACATACCGTTTGAATTTGTTGCATATTCTCTCGAAGTGCTATTAAATCTTTAGTTGAATCCACTAGTGTACGAGCTTCATCAAGTAGTGTGATATATCTAAAATAAGATATAAAAATACATTTGATCTGATGAAGACCAATGAATTGCGAATATTTAGACTGAAGGACTTTTGTTCATACTGCTAGATGGCATATTAAAGAAAGTAGCTAGTCAAGATGTTAGTCAGCAAGAAACACTGGACCAAGGTTTCCTGCCATTTGACACTCGTCAGTAGAGCGTACCCGTATTCTTGAGGGATCTGATGCTCTTTGACGGAGTCGATCTCCTGTCACCCAGATTCATAGTCAGAGATGTTATCAATGAGCTATCCGAGCCACGACTGACCTCCTGTAGGACTGAGTTTTATTTAAAATTAATTAACTATTGTGTGGTGACCATTGTCACGTGTGTTAGGTCCTTCTTAGTGCAGATCGAATTCTATCGACCAAGTTCCAATGCAGTCACTAATCTAAGTAACTCCACATCGAGTGCACTATATTGAGGTCAAACGTGGCATGGATATCTCAGTGCTAACGTCTCTAACTGTGAAGCTGTGTGACAGAAGATTGAGTCTTACAGGAAACACCAGTTGTCTCTAGATAACAGGTACAACAGCACGAAACCTAGGTCCAGTGATCAATTAGTTGTAAACTCACTAATTATCGAAGTTTGATGATAAACATTTTCTGAATTGAACAAATTATAAATTCATCGTAAATGGATAATTCCAACTTCCTAGATTCGTATAAATAACGTGCTTTGCTTAGTCGACAATTATGTTGTTTGTATTTAGTTATATTAGACAGTTAGATGTCATAAAAGACTTGTTCAGCTCATCCAAGCGCAAACAAATATACAAGTATTAATGCAGGCCATGCTGCATTTATTCTGATGATGAATCGAATAAATTCATCTAGCTTATGAGCCTATTCAAGATAACAATGAATATTAATTATTTGAATATTAGCAATGTTTAATCAATAAACAATGCTGAATACACATACTAACGATGCATTTGGCATAAACCTGACCACTTTTCGGATTACATATTTGAATATATATAGCTGTCAAACTTGCAAAGATTTTATTGGAAACAATATTCTTGATACATACAATCATGTTGGGGATGTTTAAACAGTTGGGATCAAGTTCCGCCGAAATCTAATTGGAAAATCTATATTTGTACCAGAAAGACTTGTATCAAATCAGTAAGTTTAGATTGAGGCAACTACAGGAGGTTATGAGCAAAGATGGATAGTGGCTAGCAGCGGAATTCAAGACGCGCAATTCGTCCTATTTAGGACTCGTCAGCTGGATGTACCTGCACCTCAGAGTTGATGTTCACCGTGGGACTCGAACTTAGTACCATTCGCTTCAAATTCCATCGTGTTATCTAGTTAGCCACTTGCTTGTACAATCGGGTGAAGTTTAAATTTACTTGGTATTGTTTAATTGAGTCTTCCCAGCAGCTAAATGGATAACGTGATGATGTATGAAGCGGATGGTACTGGGTTCGAATCCATGAATGAACATCAACTCTCTGAGATGCATGTACATTCAGCTGACGAGTCCCAAATAGGGCAAAATGCACGTTCTGGATTCCACTGCTAGCCACTATCAATCTTTGCTTATAATGCTTTTGACTTAAGGCAATATTGAGGCAATCCGCACAAGATGCACATATGCTAAGAAGTGACTGATCGATTGTAGTTCTAAACAACAATGGGAAGATACAAGCAAACAACACCGAATGAATTTATAGGAGGTTATGTTTGACTGATTTACACTGTCAAATCTTTTAAACACTTCATGGTTTTATTTCTACATTTGTTCTTCTATAACAGAATACTATATTCTCCTATTTGTTATTATTAGTTTCCATTGATAATCAGTATCAATAATAGCACTAATAATATTAGTTTTTTCCTCAAATATTTTTCTCTCACCAGCTTCATTTTCACAATTGTAAGTTCACTGAATTCATTTATCCTACTGTAACAAAATCGTTCTCTTTTACTTTTAAAATCAATAAACTACTATACACATAGAAAATATAATAAAAAACTATATGACTTCGAGAAGGTGGAGAAGATTTGTAGCCAGGTGGATGATGCACTTCGATCATCGAGGTGCACAGAACAAGCTGTGAAACACATATGGAGAAATTCGAACACTTCACTTCTATCTGAAGTTTGTGCTGATGATGTCATTCAGAAGAACGATAAAAGCTCCATAACCAAACCATCCAGCTCCATCAAAAACTAAATGACTTCACTACTATTCCATTTAAAAAGAAATCAGTTTATTCATATCAAGCCTACATGTTACTTATGTTTTACATTGACTATTACAAAGGAATACTTATGGATGTAAAACTGTAAAATATAGAGAATGGAATTTACTGAAGAACTTTTTGCTTTTTAAACACAATTCTATTTAATATTTGAAATAATAATTTACAATTTCAGATGGGTTTTTTGTGGAGATTATAGTAATTTCAATGGTTAAGATCATGAGTCAGTTGAAGCTAGACCACCATGGAAAACCTCGCGCGCGAAACCAGTAGGTTCTGGGTTCGAATCTCGCAGGTGGCGAGGTCGTGGATGCACACTGTTGAGGAGTCCCATGCTAGAACGAAACGGCCGTCCATTGCTTCCAGGTTTTCCATGGTGGTCTAGCTGCAATTGACTCATGATCTTAACCATTGAAATTTACACTTTACAATTAAAATCACATCAGTATGCAAAATAAATGTACTGATCTAATCTACCTAATCTAATCTATATCTGTTCTATGCTTTCAACGTTTAGCATGTAAATACCATTGTGAAATCATTAAAACCAGTAATATCACAATGATGTAATTATAATTTAGAATGCTAAATAGAATGGGGATGAGCCTGATTCGGTCTAATGATTTACATCACACATATAAAATGTGTATACACCTCCACACATATATGAACTAACTTTCCTAATTAATGTTTTAATAAATAGAACTCTATCAACAAAATGGTGAAATGTTACACGTTCATTTACAGTTCAAAACAAAATGTGATATGTAAATGTGAAATCTCATAATTTATACAAAAAGTTTATTAAGTTTTTGATTGAAATCATGAACCGATTGATGTTAGACCACCATCTTTGGAAACCTGGAAGCACTGGACGGCCGTTTCGTCCTATTGTGGGACACCTCAGCAGTGCGCACCCACGATCTCACTCTCGGGATTCGAACTCAGGGCCTTCGGTCTCGCGCGCGGACGCCTAACCTACTGGACCGCTGATCCGAATTAGCAATTCGATAAAATCCATGATGTTAGTTTTACCGATAAAAATAGTAATAATACAATTATTTATGAAAGATGTCACCCTAGAGACCAACTATAACTTTTCCTCATTACTGACAACAAAACTAAAAATGCTTATTTATTGAGTAAATGTTTGTATACAAGTTGTCAATGAAAATAGTCAATCGGTAAATGAAGAATTGAATAGTGAATTCATTCTGAATCAGTAAACGAAAACTTTAGTTTCTCTTATTTTAGTCTAATTATGAACAATAGATTGTTTGCCATAAAAGGAAAGTGTAAATAAACCATTTTGTTTCCAGGATAATGAAAAAAAGAACTTTTTTTTAATGACATTGTTTTAGGGTTATTCTAAGCATTTTATTTGTGTGTGTGTGTGTGTGTGTTTAGTCGGACAGTTAGTGATACATCTAGAAAAACAATAAATGCCGATATATATCTGAAATAAACAAAAGAAGAAAGATTCTCCCCTAGAAACAATAAAAAGAAGCTAGAAATAGGGTGAGAAGTATTTTAAAAAAAAAAACAAGAATATCAAGATGAAATGACAAAAGATCTTGATAAAATTTCTAATCAAGTGCTCAATGCAAAACAAACAAAAAAACAGACAAAATTGTTGAAGATATTTTGGTGGAGTTTTGTTCTCTAAGCTGGAATGGTTTGGTCGTGGAGCTTTCATCGTTCAGCTTAGAGAACAAAACTTCACCAAAATCATCCATCTTAGCTACAAATCTTCTCCATCATCTCATTGTTGAACATAATTTAACTTTATATGAAACACACACAAAACACCCCCCGAATAGAGAATGAATTCAGTTTTAAATGGTTGAATAAAATATATCTACTTTTTAATTCGTTATTGACAGAAGTATTCTATGCAGATATCTGAATGTAAGTAGTACTGTCCAATATTAAGGTATGGTGTTTGGATAAAGTTATTTAAAGAAGTTATTTGTAGAGAATACAAAACATAACTGTTGCTTTTTGTTTGCGATAAAAAAATAAATGTAAATAATATGTAAATCATATGCGATGCTTTAGTCGTTACTTCAGTAAGCAACAATCACTAAATATTCTACAATTGTAACATTATTAAGTTTATAATTTTTCTCTCTGATTAGTTGGTAAAGTGATGATAGCAAAGATCAAACCTCTTCCAATTTCTATCATGAATCATCTATGCATAAATCACCTGTTTACCTTAACAACATCTAATTTTCACATGAATAATAACTCTCGACTTTTAGTTAGTCTGATACAAAGTCATAATAGTGTGTATATGTATTTTTGAAAAAAAACAAACCGAAACATCGAAAATATCATTGATTACGAATATCGTGGGAAACTTACTCCGATAATATACAGCTCAGATAAACAGTTTATGACTTCATAAAATAACATAATCTATAGGTGGTGCACGATTTCAGAAACCAAGGGAATTTTTTCAGTTCATGCAAAGATTGAATCAGGCATACGACAGTTAGGTTTGCCGAAACTTAGCGTGTTTGACGACTTCACCTATAATTAGACTAGGCATAGGTGAAGATGATTTTGGAGGAAAACGTTTTCACTGAGAATAAAAATTCCTACCTCGAACAATCTTGCATCGTTTTTCGAGGCGTTTAGAATACTTTATTTTTATATCCTCTTCACCAAATAAAACTACATTATATTCGTCATTTACGTCAACAACTTAATCTATCAAGAAATTGGCTACTGAGAAATCAGGTGAATAAATCTTTGATAAGGTGTACTTCAGGAGAATGATTATAGAAAAATTCGGTTCTTTGAAGCCACACATACAAACAAGTGCTAACATGCTCCAAATTTTATCCAGGAAGATTTGGGAGGGAGAACAAGATCTGAGGCGTGAGAACTATAGAGGCATCACAATACTGTCGGTACCAGGAAAGGTTTCTAATAATGTTGCTGAACTGGATGAACGATTCGATCTCAGCAGACTGAATTCCGTAAGGATCGGTCGTGCACAGACCGAATTGTAAAGCTATTGATCATCGTTGAACGGACAATTGAGTGGAAATCGTCAGTGTACATCAACGTTATGGAAACTACTTCGACACTGTGGTGTACCTGAGAAAATCGTCGACATCATACGGAATTCACACGATGGACTACAGTGCAAAGTCGTGAATGCAGAACAGTTGACAAACACATTCTAATTGAGGACCGGATTCAGAAAGGGTAGCTTACTCTTTCCCTTTCTCTTTCTTCTGGCGGTTGACTGGATTATGAAGACCCCCACATCTGAGATGAAGCACGGAATACAATAGATAGATTAGAAACAAATAGATTTATACTTCACAGATGACTTGAGCGTTCAATCACATACACATGAAAAAATGCATATCAAGACAAACTGTGTTGCATCAGCCTCTGCATCAGAAGGCCTCAATATGCATGAGGGAAAAAGCAAGATCCGCAAATACAACATGGAGAATACCAACCTAATCACATTTGATGGAGAAACTCTGGAAGAGGTGCAGACTTGTCCGATCAGCATCGTCGATGAACGTGGAGGATCTGATACAAACGTAAAGTCAAGGATTGGCAAAGCAACGGAAGCATTACTACAATTGAAGAACATATGGAACTCAAAACAACTGTCAACCATTATCAAAGTGTGAATCTTCAATACGAATGTCGAGACAGTTCTATTGCAAGGAGTCGGAACTTGGAGACTACCACAACGACCATCAAAAATGTTCAAGTGTTTCTAAACAATTGTCTGCCCAAGATACTTAATGTTCGTTTGCTGATTATCATCAGAAACAGCCTACTGTGAGAGAAAACGAATCAGCTTACAAATGAAGAAAAATGAGGAAGAGACTTTGGAAGTAGGATATACATTGAGGAAATCATCAAACTCCTGATAAAGAAAAAAAACTATATACAACAGTTGGTAAGTGGTTTTATGTTCAGAAACCAGTATATTTGTTTCGTACATATTTATTTGTGCCCCAAATTCATCATTTTTTCTTACGTTTGCAGTTTTGAAGCTACACAAATTCGTCAAACTGTCATAAAGGATAATATTTTAGATGTAATTAATCAGACTGACTCCTCAACGGTAACCATAAAAAAATGTCTGTCCATTGTACGGATTAAGACAATCATTGAATGAAACCTGTCAAAAAATATCTCTTAGCCTTCAGACATTACTTAATAGGTCAATTGATTGTTAGTGTTAAAATCCTCAGCCTTTAGTCCATCAACACTAACCACGTTTCCTTGCTTTAAGTTACCTATCAAATGTAGCTGCAACCGTTCATCTCAGTTGACATCTACTGTTGAAAAATGTAGATAAACACCTTTAATTTCAGGATTTCTAGTTTGTCTAAAATAAATCAGTAGTAGGGATCATTATTGAAAACTTTGTCTAAAACTCAAAACTACAACCCATGAACGTGGTAAACTAACCTGTTTTTTATAAAAACAATTTTATTTTGTATTTTCTCCATTGAATATACTTTATCTTTAATGAGTTGATTCCCGGTATCACATAAATTATTCAATGATTCATTAGCATTGATTAAACATTGAACAATTTCATTTTGAGATTTCAACGAAGCAACAATATCAGTTGTATTCTTTTGTTTCTAAGTGAAATTCAATTAGAGAAGATAAAATAAAAGATCAGAATTGATTTCACTATTCATTGTATTTTTGTTATGCAAAACATCGTCGCTATTAACATAGAGTAAATATTACGAAATAAGAAAGTTTTAATGTTGACTAAATACTTTTGTTAGTTGTTAAATACATGTGTTAAACAAAAACAACCTTCTTCGTTTTTGAATTTAACTAAAACTTCATGAGTCGATTGAAGCTAGACCACCATGGAAAACCTAGAAGCGCTGGAAGACCGTTTTGTCTTGGTGTGGGACTCCTCAGCAGTGCGCAGCCACGATCCCACCTCGCGAGATTCGAACTCAGGTCCCAACAGTCTCGCGCGCAAGCGCTTAACTTTAGACCACTGAGTCTAGCTTCAATTGGCTCATACATCCAAATATTGAATTATTATAATATCCGCAAAACCCCTCTGCGATTAAAACTTAAGTAGTTTAATTATTCAAAGATCTTCATATTAAAAGACTAATATTTGAACGAAAAATATTCTTTTCGATAAATTCTCTTCAGGTTCTACAATTCTTATATCCAAATTAATAATCCGAAAACTGCCCAGGTTAAGGGCAAAGTGTGATTAGATTGACAAAACGGGTACCATTTTAGATGACAAATTAAAATTTCAAAAAATAACTGACCAGAAAGTTCTTAATAATAAGACAGAGTATGAGCTAACCAGATCTTTGAAGAAGCTCAGGAACCAACAGACTATTTGGTTGGGTTTATGTGAAATAATTAAACCAGTGAGAACGTGCCAAGATTGTACACAAATCAGGGATCCCACTAAAACCAATTTTAGATATGCATAACTCTCCTTATCATACTATAGCTAAATGGTATGTAACTATATTGAAACGTCTCCATGAAAAACTTGTAAAACTTAGTGTTAAGTATGTATTCCAATTTGTTGACAAGATCAGAAATGTAACATCAATATTCACAAATGTTGCACTCATAGAGACCGTAGAATATACATGTGAAAAATTGAGTGAAAATGAAATTGAAACTAAATTTCTTATCAATGACGTAAAAGAGTTATTAATGAGATGCATCATGAATGTGAATTCTGTGTTCGACGGATAAGTATATAAATACACGGATGGTGTTGCGATGGGTTCATCACTGAGCCTTATACTACCTGGCATTTTTCTAGCCAAACTAGAAAACGCTCCACTCAAAAAGATTATCCAAAAATTCACATTTTACTGTCAATATATGGATGATACGTTCATTCTCTGAAACGATAATACACCACAGCAAGAGTATCGAGATATTCAGTTTACATCTGAAGAAGAGAGCAATGGTAGATTAGCGTTTTTGGACGTACTCTCAACTACGAAAGCTGATGGATCATTGAAAAGGAATTTAAACAGGAAAAATATCTAGACGGGGCAGTACACACATTTCCTTAGCTTTGTACCTCCGCAGTACAAAAGAAACCTGATCACAACTATTAGTTATTGAATATGCACTATATATTCTACGGATATAGTTGAAAAAGAGCCAAAAACATTGCGTAATACTCTTAGGGAGAACGGATACCTTAGAAAGTTTATAATTAAATATATGTTCACGAAGGTGAGACTAGGCGAAATACAAACGGTGAATAAGAAATGCCTGTTCATGTGAAATATCAACTCAGAGATTAGGGAAAACAACCCAAAAATTCTTTCAACGCCCGAGAACTACGATTATTATTTCCTACGCTCCCAATGGTGACGTAAAAGTTAAAAGATGAATTACTTAGAATGATCATTTCATTTTGTATTTAGCAGTTCGAATGCTCCTGTGGAGCAGGTTCCATTGGTCGAAGTTCTAGGAATTTACATTTTCGTGCTCGTGAACAGCTCCTAGCGTGGCTAAACAAAGGTTTGATGAAGAAAGTGAACAGCTTGATATTGGCCCATTTAGTACAAATTGGCCATAGTGCCAGTATAAACCAACCTTTTTTCAATTATTTATAAGGTGATTATTAACTTTTTGCCAAAGCTTGTCATACTTAAAGTCCTTCAAACGGCTGAAGCAGTAGCCATCCGGATTAAGAGACTGGAACTGTGAGTACAAAAGAAATATCTTCAACCGCTTCTCCTCCCCTGGCCAACATTAAGGTCAATTAATCAATAGAAATATTAGCTATTGAACGATCTAATTTGACCATTGTACTAACGACCTTTGGTAGTCAATTGTAATTGGTCTAGCTTCAATTGACTCATGATTTCAATTTGTGAAATTTCTAAAATCTCCACAAACCTCTTCTGGTAATAATTATCTGCTCACTAGTGACTGACTTCAAGAGATACTCCTGGAGTTCTAGTGAAAAGCCGTTACCAGTGGAGTTCAACTAGGTCTGTTGTGAGATATCAGCTCACTGAAGACAACAGTGTACGGTAGCGCAACTTCGTGGATTGGTTGAAGTTAAATATTAACACCGATGGATGCCGACTGGCTCAGTGGTCTAGTTGGTTAAGCGGATGGCGCGAGACTGATAGGTCTTGGGTTCGAATGTCTCGGGAGGCGGGATCGTGGATGCGTACTGCTAAGGAGTCACACAGTAGGACGAAACGGCCTTCCAGTGCTTCCAGGTTTCCTATGGTGGTCTAACTTCCACTGACTCATGATTTCAACAAGTGAAATTTCTAAAAATCTTCACAAACCCCTTCTGATAAATGTATGTGTATCTGTTATCTTTATTCACAAATCTTTGTATTATTATTATTATTATTATTATTATTATTATTATTATTATTATTATTATTATTACTATTGGTTAAACATCATTATTCATCTCCCCAATACATGATTCATTTAATTCTCATTCATCCCACTTTATAATGTCTTTATAATAATTTTTTTACACAATATAGTCTTCCGTTAAATATTTGATCGAATTGGAATCGCACTATTATTTCTGTCTCACCCTATTTGATCCATATTTATTCGGATCATGGATTTTAAATTTCACATAACATATATGCAGATTCAAGTTTACATTCCATATATATGTATGAGTTATATCACCATGATCAGTTTTATTCTATTTTGTTTAACAATCCTAAAATCACATGGTATAACACTTTAAACTATGTACTTTACCCTTAACCTGATCATTTTTCGGATTATTAATTTAGTTAAATAATTGTAGAACCTGTAGAGAATTAATTGAAAATGCCCCGAAATGCCCTGCTATGGCCGAGAGTGGGGTGGGCCCGCCCTCCCTCTCGAAATGCTCTCAAACGGCCACGCATATACAGCCTCTGCCAGGGAAGTCCTACTCACTGACTTCTCGTGGCTACAGTGTTGTTTACGAAGATGAGAGGACGAAAAGCGAATGTCCGGCGCTTTGACCGGATTCCAAATCAATGGTGCACATGGACTCCAGGATCCTGAGGGATTAAATGGTATATGAACCAATTGTTGGTCACCGGCTACCATGTTACTGCATCTCCTAACGATGCTCCATTGCCTTGTTGGTCAGACCTTTAGATCCAAGGCACTGGATGTGGCCTCCTAAGAAAACCACCTGCTTCGGTTTGGGCACTCGGGCAGTATCCCAGCCCTCACACAAATCGAATGATTTATGTGGCGCATATCTGTTTGTTGTCTGCTTGTACCAATGTTTATGTAACTAACTAACTAAATAAATAAATAATTGAAAAAAAATATTCTCTCTTTCAAATATTGGTTTTTAAAAAAACTTAAATAGTTCACTAAGTAATTAGGCATCGAGACAATCATTGATTCGTATTATATAACAAATCTGTATTTTCTATTGAATGAAATTTAATCTACATTCTTTTTAGTGCTTGTTTAAATAAACAATAGTCAAGTGTTATTTATGAATTTTAAACAAAACAAAAACAAATGTAATTTTACTTCAATAAACATTCAACAGTTATAATAATCATAATCATAATAATAATAATAATAATAATAATAATAATCTTGAGATAATTGAAGCTAGACCACCATGGAAAACCTGGAAGCACTGGATGGCCGTTTCGTCCTAATATGGGACTCCTCAGCAGTGTGCATCCACGATCCCACCCCCCCTGCGGGGTTCGAACCCAGGATCTGTCTGTCTTACGCCAGGTGCTTAAACAACTAGATCACTGAGCCGGCATCCAACGGTGTGAATGTCTAACGTCTGAATACTTCAACTTATGTTTTGTTTTAATACTTGATCATCTAACATTTGAATACTTTTTTGTTTGTTTGAACAATACAACACATAAATAAACGAAAAATAAACAGAGATAGACACAATTGATTTAATGGTTGATAACATTTTAAATATTCCAATCAGTTTCATTCTATTTTCTCTTGTTTTTTTCAAGAAACGAGATACAGTCGAACCGTTTTTTTTCCCTTCTAGTTTAACATTAAGTAATCAATATTCATGATAAATGTCACCAAGTTTGAATGATTCAAAGAAATTTCCCCAATATCCATCAATATATATATAGGTATCATGAATTTATTCTACATCATTTAGAAACCTTTCAATTTGAAGTTTCATATCATGGATAAATGTTAGTTAGAGAAACAGTAACAGCCGTAGATACTATAAAGTAGCCTTATCCTTGTCTAAGACTTGTCAATTAGTCTGCAACCATAACTTTACAAGTATCAGATAATCTTCACAACGAGGACTTAAGTTTCAGAACATCGAGTTGATATTCAGTAGTTAAGGTTTGTAATCTCAAAGAAATAGCTATTGCGATTGGTGATATTGTCTCACTAATCTGACAATGGCTTCTTAATAGAACTCAATGGGCTACCTCACAAATTTATCCACTTGTATTCAAACAATAATTACTGAAATTAATGGGGTTTGTTAAGAACTCAGTAAATATATTGAGTTGTTGTTGAGTAGATTGAGTAATGTTGTTGAACCGGATGAAAGATGCAGTAGAAGCCCAACTTCGAGATCAACCAGCTGGATTCCGTAAGGATCGATCGTGCACAGACGAAA